TTATTCCCAGAATACCTTTGTTGTCTTCACAAGATGAAAACCTGCCTATTCCTTTCAAAAGAACACAATTTCCTATTAGATTATGTTTTGCTATGACAATAAATAAAGCTCAAGGTCAGACGTTAGATTTTGTTGGAATTTATTTACGAGAGCCTGTTTTTTCCCACGGTCAGCTTTATGTTGCTTTATCACGAGCAAAAAACTCAAGTTCTGTGAAATTATTGATCCGACCACCAACACCTGATAGCAACGATGATCATACAACATACAATGTAGTATATGATGAAATCATTCAAGCGTCTCTCTTGTGAATTAACAGTAACACTATGAGCAATCACTTATTTGAGATTTGATGTACATCTGACTGATATCCTACAAAAAATTGATCCTCAGCATCTACAAATTGGATTGATATCACATAGATGTTAACTGAGGTGTCTCTGCATCTTGAATCCTTGCTTCACTAAAGATCCTAAAGATGGAATACTACTTGAATATTGCACTAACTATCCGGTAAGTAATTTTTTTCTTGAATATACATCTAATACTTGAAACCTTGCTTTGATTAATAATTTTGCGTGTGCATCTATATGTTTACATGTTTGCCTATTTCTGGACAGATTCCAATAGTATACCAAATAAAATTCTTCTTCTTCTTTAGCTGTTGAAAATATGATATCTCCTTATCTTCTCCAGAATGAATGAAAGAGCTTGGCTTAGTTTCTGCAATGGAGATCTAAAATGAATTCGTTCAATATCAACTTACTTCAGATAATATTCCACAAAACTACTTGATGATTCCAAGGTAAGTTTCTCTTAAATAGTTTTAACATGTTATTTGACGAAATTTTCTAAATTGTTTGAGTTCTTTAGAAATGAATGACATCTTAATATTTTCATTTTACCTTTTCAGTTTCCCTTAACTGTATAATTTCTTTTGCTGAATACTTCTGTAGATCCTGAAGACATATTTGAAAAAAGAACTGTTATTCTCGCAGCTTCTTGCCATTATTGGTTGCAATAATTCTGCTAGCTTTAGGTTTGGGCGTCATTCAGTGTAGACATAAAAGAACAGAGAGTTCAATGCTAAAAAAGATAAAATAAAATATACTATTTTTGGTACTTGGCAACCATAACCAGATAATCAAATAGTATTGTTCTCTAATTGTTTAGTTTTCTTATCAACTTTATGGTCTAAATTCTCTACTTGTATAAACATATTGCAGGAAAATTGGCCCACAACCATAACAAAGATCATAACAGTTCATTGCTTGGTCTGCTTTCTACTTTGTCACAACCATTTATAATTCTTGATCTGGGTGCAGAGCCTCAAGAAGTCAGACGTTTAGCATGCCAAATAGTAAGTACTTCTGTGATAAATTCAAGGCTTTTTACTAGACTTAAAGTATGTGCATGCATAAACTAAATTTAAGATATTATATCTTATTATTTTTTCAGTTTCTACCCAATTGAAACCTTTTCTGTATGAAAGATTATTTTTCCTGAAAAATATGGCTAACTATGTATAGATACTCCTCTAGATTTCCAACTTAGTAACTTTCATCTTTGCTGGCATCTATAGTTAACTATGATTTATGTTCTATCCATGATTTGTTGTTCAGTTAGGTGACAAATACTTTGCTGCTATTAACAACAATGAGATAATGCTCTGTGCATTCTAAGATCCAGAATCTATTTCAACAAGGAGACTGATCTTTTAACAAGGTTTAGATAGTTCGCTGCCTTAACAAATTGTTCCACATTTTTTGCGTAAATAGTTGTAAGTAGTGTGTGCCTATGTTTGTGAAGGCAATTAATATTAATTTTTGGATATTGGAGCAGCCTCTAAATGTTTTGCAACAACATATTATACTTGAATGCATGTACATTTTCAAAAGTTTACAACGTTTACCGCATGATGTTTTCCTTTATACTACTGATGTCAACGCTTACTCTTTAATAAAAGATTTACACAAATATCATTTACATAATTTTAATTTTAGTTCAGTTATAAAAGTGTGTGGCCATGTTTAACAATTCACTGCCACTAAAATATTGATAAAAACATTTTTTTTTCTTAAATGAAATATTTATTATCGAACATCACTAAACACTTTAAAGTTTATCTTATATAAACTACGTCATTGAGGGCGGGCTATACATGGGCGACAACCAGCTAGACTACATTAGAAGTCCAAATTAACAAATGAGACAAGCGGTCATTTTTCCTTCAGATTTAGTTACCTCAGTTTGTTATTTGTATAATATTTGTGTTTGTCAAAGCTACATTTTCAGACAGAAGCTAAAAGCTAAAGAGCTTCAACGCATCTTATGATAACTTATGATAGAGTCAAGCTATGATGGAGTCAAGGTAATGTCCAATAGATTGCCTTTATCTCAGGTTTGTTGAGAAAGTAAATTAATTTCTTAAATTATCTTACGACCAAGGTTTGCTAGCTATGATTATAATCATATTTATCTGTCTAATATAAATATTTGTTGAATTTCTTCACTATTCAGATAAACAACAAGGTTTAGGTGGACTCATTTGGTCATTTTTGTGCAATATTGGTAACATCGTCTTCTGCCAACTACACTTTCAATCTGTCAAGGTAAGTATATGAGTTCAAAAAAATTCTCACACTGCTACGTTCACGATATGGATAACTGTTCAATATGTTCTAATATGCTATTACTAAATGCTCCACCCTCAGATTGCAGTTATATTAAGCTGCCTTTGTTTAATATGCCTACTCAATTGTGAGATGCTGCTACTCACTCTATGCAATATACTTTTAAGGGCCATGAGACAACTTAACTACCAGATAGACGAGCGTGTGAGCTCTAAGGTTTTTTATATTCGGTGGAAGGCAGGTTGAAACTCTGCCGCAAGCAAGTGAAAGTTGGATAACAAAGGCTAAAGTGTGCATGTACTGAGATTTGAAAAAAAGAGCCAGTTGTAACAACCTGATTACCTGGTAGTCAACGACAATGTATTGATGCTCTTCTCTCAGGGCTCAAAACAGCTATGTCAATAGTGGCAAGAGAAAGATTCATTACTCAGGTCCGATGCTTAACCTTCTTTGCCTTTCTAATACAAACTTATATTCTTTCATTAATTTTACTCTATCTATTTTTTGGTTTCTTACAGGCTTATTCTTGATTTTTGATTTTCTCTGTTTTCCTCTTATAGATCACCACTTTTCTGATAGCAATAGCAGAACGGAGAATTAAAATTGAAGAGCTTCAGTATACGTTGCAGCTGAAAATGACTATGGAATCCTTAACAAATACTAACTCACCATCAGGAACAGTAAAGATTCAAATTTTATGAAGTGCATCAGTGAGCTGTCATTTCGTCTATATCAAGAACAAGTATATGCGAGCTGACAATGGCAATCCCAATTTATAGTTATTTGTAGACCTTTGTCTTTTTACTTAGCTTATTAACCAAAAACTCATGTGATTTCAGTTCGTTTTATGATGTTTCCCTCTTCCACTGACCTTCAACAACAAAAAAATTCCAACAACCGAACTTCTTATGGTTGAAATCTTACGGTATGTGCTTGAATTTGTTCAGGATGTTCTTCAGCTTATTTTGTCGCTGTTGCAAAAAAAAATACTAGCTAACATGTGAAGATGGTTTATTATGTTGAAAGCAGAGGTTTTTCTATGTGGGTCAAGTGAATTTTCGTTTACTTCTTTACTGTGGTACAATATTTTAGTCATTGTCACAACTTCGTTATCAATCATTTACAAATTCAGACGACTTGCACAAACAAAATTGTGAACACATTTTTTGTTCAAAATTGATCTAATTGGTCCAAACCAAATCTTAATTTAATATCCAACATTCTAATACCTATCACAATAATTCTCGATAATTAAATTCAATCCAAAACTTCAAAGACCAATAGACGTGCGTCTATTGTATTTTTAAAATTCCTTCAAACAAACCATTCCAAACTAATAACAAATATGCAACGAATATTTAATTTTTTACAACTCAAATGAAAAAGTAAAAAGGAGAAGTAAAGTCTAGCATATGATGTATATTTATTTAACTTCTAAAATACGATACTCATATAATGTTCGTATTTTCTAGCACATGGAATGCAAATAATGTACATTGGCCTCTCAACTGGAAAAAAAAATGGATATAAAGTGGATAAGTGCACCATTTTGTAACAAGTTACAAGGACTTTAGTTTAGATGCTTGTCAATCGATAGATCCTATCCCTGCAACTGACCACTGTTGGGATCAGTATAACTTCTTGCTTTCTGTCAGAGCAACATATTTTATTTTTTGAGTACTGCTGAAGGGTTAAATCACTTTTGGATTTACAATTATACTTCTGCGAAAATGAAGTAGCAAGCATAATTGCTCAAAAAATTGATACTTTAGCTCTAAACTGCCCCGTGCAACTTCTTTTGAATCTACTGCTTCAAATAATCATAGAGGATATATAAAAACTTTAAGGTTATTGGGCCCGGGCATAGCCCGGGCTAATCGTACCTAGTTTTTAATTATGCCCGGACTAATCGTACCTAGTTTTTAATCAAGTGCTAGTGTCTAGTGTAATGTTGAATTTCTCAGATTTGACGAACTTTCCGAGTATTTCTAGTTTAACTTTTTTTTTTTCCACATTTCCTATTAAATCTAGTTCTGGTGTCTTTTCACATTTTTTATACCATAGTTTGTTAATATTTGGCAAGACCAAAAATGTTCACTTTTAACAAATTTAAAAGATCAATACTTCTTAGGTATGTACTTAAGGGACCATTTTTGTTATTTTTTTCTTTCCTGAATAGGGTTTCAAGATGGAGTTGTGCCTATTCTGAATGGCCAACATAAGATTGAGGGACTAATGGCATTTTAAAATCTATCATTTCTTTCAAGATTTTATTGGATCTAGTAAATAACTGTATCCTTCTAACTTTACCAACAAGATGAAGAATTAAAAATGGTAGAGATCTCACGAAAAAAAATTATAGCAAAATTCAACAGAACATCCATAATTCAATGCAATAATTTTTCAACATCACTATTTCTGGGAGCTATTTACAAATGATCACTACTTCATTAAGCTCATATATTCTACTATTAAATTTACTGCAAGCTATTTCAACTAACATTAACTACTAAAATTAAGTAATTAACTAGCTTTTGCCAATAATAAGGATTACATTAGAGGCATTGAAATGGGATACTGCATTTTTCAAAGACTTTATTTTTAAGCCTAAAGTCAAGTGCAGATCACCTGTGCCAACTCTTGTTCTAAATCTCTATTATGTCAAACAACTCCAATTCTAAAATTAACAATCAAACAACATACTCCCTATGACTACCTTAAAACTGGAGTTGCTCTGAACTACTTAATCCGCGCGCTAAATTGACCATTTTCAGTGATTAATTCCTATTCACAAACTACTTCTACCATGTAGATTTTGACAGTTGATCGATATCAATGGACACTATGCTTCTTCAGTAGAACTTGGTAGAGGTAGAGAAAGTAATTGAGCTCTACATCCCAAAGGAAGTATAGTTGCTCTACCACTAGATGTACGTTCGAGTCCTGGAAATAGTTCCCCTTTGGTCCGATTGCTGTGTGATGTGAGACGACTTACTAATAGTTCCAACGCTTCTTTCATCCATCCGTTTTGGCATAGCCTTCTTGCTTCGCGTACATTCATCTACAATTGGTTTTTGGACAGGCTAAACATCAGCAAACGCGAAGACGTGCTTTTATTTCATAATGAAACTAGGTATTCTGGTCTAAGAGAGGTGTCATGTCACCTCTACTAAGACGAGAAGTATATGTATACATACATACATATATACATATATACATATATGGCCGAGGGTGTACCGGAAACTACCTCACTGCCCTTTCACGGTAGGGGCAAGGCTGCGTACATCCTACCCTCCCCAAACCCCACTTGTAAGAAATCACTGGGTTTGTTGTTGTTGTGTATATATAGAGAGAGATATTTAGGAAGAGAATGAATTGTTGCATACCCAAGTTCTTTCGCGAATCTCTTTCTCAGGCCAAGAGTCTAGTTGTTCTGTTACAAACAACGGAAACATGTGCCCTTCATACGCAGTGTCACCGGATTTGTTGTCGAAGTACCATGTTCCCAGTTTACACTGCAAAAGTAAAGTTAAAACCACTTATCAGTAACGGAAACATAGATGTTATCGCTATATCAAGATCAATGTCAACGAAACAGCAGACGTTATCGCATATTTCTAATCCCAAATGAACACAACATCACATGTAATCATCAATCATTGCAATCAGGCACTCAATATTTTACGAAAAATTTGGAAGATCATAAGCCCCTTAACTCTACCACAGCTAGTATTCTGTCATTTATCTGATGCAATAGAACAAGTTAACACAAAAACTTTATGTTTCTTATTTTTCAATCTTTTCACTTCAAGAGAAACATAAAAGGAACTGAAAGAGATCACGAGGGAGAACGAACCTCAACTTCACCTCGTACTCCAGCTTCCTCGACAGTCTCACGTTGTGCTGCATCTTCGATTGTTTCATCTTTTTCCCAACCTCCCTACGATAACAACAGACGTATTTGCATTTAGAACAGAGATTTCCCCTAATATAACTACGTACGAGCATCAAAATGAACTATATTTTACGAGTAAGTTTTAAAGCTATGGATCAGTAGCTACCTTTGGGAATAACAACCCTTTGCCTTTTCTTTGCGGACTTATGAGAAGAACTTCAAATGCATCTTCATCTACCATTGATAGCTCAGTGAAATCTTTATATCGATAAGGTATACATCTGCAGAAAAGACATGATCGCGGAAACAAATATAGTTAATAATTGAACTACAATTTTAAGGCAAAAAAAAATTATCTTTCCACATGAGAATAAACTAACAAAGTCAAATACATGTGGTACAAGTAATAGGCATAATACAGCTAATGTTAAGAAAATGTCCAAGTTCAGCAATAGGCTTTCACTGTTAGAATCTAGTAAAAGAGTATCACATTATGTCTTAATTAATCTTTAATTAACCATTTAAAGTAGGAAAATCAGCAACAGAATGTCCTTTTCCCAGAGAAAAAACAAGACATGTGATGAGTTGAAAACACTTTGCTTAACACCACATGACTTTCTGATTTTCTCCAAAAATATAAAATTTTCAAAAATCAAAAGAAAAAGAATCACTAAATCACACAACAACAGAGAATAGATAATAAATGAGGGGGTAAATTTGACAGATGGTAACTGAACTAATCATTTATTACACTGATGTACCAAAACTAAAATATACCTAAACTCTACCTTTATATAGAAAGTAAAGATTCACATTTTCTCATATAAAAAAGAAAAGATTTCCTTTACAAGAGATATAAAAGAAAAGAAAGTGTCAACTGGCTCTAAATTCTTATACACTGTCAAAATTGAATGCAAACTGAATTCTTCAAACAAAAAAAAAACAAATTTTTAAAAAAGAAAAAAACTTAGCAAAATTGAAAGCACAGATTGCATCCGAAAAATCAAATTTTTGATGACAAAAATCTGTAAAATCAAAGCATTTCTACAAACAAAACAAAACAGCAAATACTAATCAGGATGATATAACAAATAAATTCATACACACCTCAAAAAGCCAATTCAAAGACCATTTGACCATTTATTTTGTTTTTTTCCTAGAAGTCAACTCTCCACAATAAATAAATTTTAAGGGGAAAAATCATGGTTAGCATTATTATTCAAAAAAGATTGTTCTAACCCAGAAATCTTCCCAATTCACAACTTAAAAATTGAAATGCAAGGAATAATGAAGGGGTGTTTTTTTTGGTGGTGGTGGTGGGGGGTGGGGGGGGGGTGTTGGGCTCTTAAGAGGCACATAGCCAGAGGAATATATGAACGCGTAACTGAACTCGATATTTTTGACACAAAATATAGATATGTACGTAAGAAAATCACTAAAATTTCAACGAACATTATATTATGAACCCATACTATCAAAAGTATAACGAGTTCATCAAATTTAAATTCTGAATTCGCCTCTATTACGTACCCAACAACTTGGCGACGACCCTTGTTGTAACGTTGCAAATGCCGGCCGGAACGTGATACAAGAACCACCATCTCCTTCAATTCCATTAATTCTTGCTTTAAAATGGAGTCTTTACTTCTTTCTTAACCAAAAAACAAGAAATGGAGAGGAGAAAAAAACAAAAAAATGGACCCTTTTGAAACCAAAGAAAATTAATCGAATTATTTGGCTTAAAACATCAAAAACAGGGGAAAGGAAAACAAAGAAAAGGAACTTGAGATTTTTTTCTTCTTTTTTGTCTGTTGAAATGATTGGTTTTTGTTTGGTGGTTGAAAAACCGTTAACGATATGAATGAATGGCAAACTTCTTCAAAATGCTGGATTTTAACTGGTGCATTTTGGAGGCGGCACGTGTGTGTGTCATGATTGGCACGTGTGACCGGTTCATTCTAATGATCCGGTTTTGTTATTCTTATACCGGTTTAATTATCGATGATCGAATTACTTAGGCCCACGCTCATGGTATGGAGCGTGACTTTTTGAAATGAAATCTAAGTAAACCCCCCAATCAAGTGAACGTAAAGACCACGATGAAAAAAAATTATTGGAAAGTTGTTTAAAATTTATTTCCGTATTGTTCAAAATTTCAGCGTAGAGGTAAGATCTGCGTGCACATTATCCTCTCCAAATCTCATTTCTGAAATCTCACTGGATTGTTGTTGTTATTGTTATTGTTCAAATTGAGCAATTTTGTCCATTATTTCCACGGACAGATTAGAAGATATATCACGGGTTCACGTGAAGTCAATAAGTTTTACTCAAATCTTTAATATAAATTAAGAAATTTACTACTTCCTGCAGTTTACTTTAATTGATTTTTTGACCTTTTTTTGTGGTACACAATATTTAAATTTTTTATCAAGAAGGAATTAAATTTTTTTTTAATAATTGTCATTAGAGTAAAGAGTGTCGGAGTATCTGTTATATTTTCAATATACAAATTAAAAGTTAATATGATCAATTTTATTGTTAATTAATTTTAAAAAGTGAAATCCTTAATATGTGTAAAAACAGCAAAAAAATCAATTAAAATGGAAGGGAGAAAATAAATATCTATAAATATTTGGCTAAGAACTCAATTACTATTGTAGTATTAACTTGAGCTAGTAGCTCTTTCCATTCATTCATACTTCTGCCATAGGCAGATCTTTTCGTATTTGGTCTTACAATTAATGGAATTTCAGTGTGAAATAAATAGATTTTACTTGTCCAAATATTTTAAGTAAAACAGTTTAAGCTAACTCTCAACCTTTCAGTGCGAGTTTAAATTACGTTCAAATTGGATCTTCTTAACATAAGGAAGCTTCTATTATGTTGTGACAAATTAGGTGGTTTGAAATTTTACAATTATATCTTAAATTTAAATTGATTGTGATATTTAATTATTTATACATCTAATTTTCTTTTGTAAGAGAATGATAAAATAATATTTTGTTGCACCTTAATTAATGCATTTACTTCAAGAGGATAGATAAGATTATCGCTTTGGTAAATTATTTATTTCCGCTCCTTCACAGTTCCCACAGCTTTCTTGGATAATATAGATATACTCCCTCCGTCACTTTTAGTTGGTACGTTTGACTTTTCACCCCCCTTAAAAAATAATAAATAAAGTGTATAATTTACCTTGATATCCATATTAATTGATGCATATTTTAATGGATTTAAGAAAATGATTTGAAATGAGTAATAAATATTATAGGTATAACAAGAAAAAAAATTGTCTTCTCTTGATATGCGTAAAGTGACAAGTAAAATAAAAATCTATTTTTAGTATACATGTCAAGTAAAAATAAACGAGGGATTACTAAGATCATAAAAAGTCATGTATATTCTTAAATAAATATAATTAAATTTTTTATTGTTTCATGATTTACCAAGTTTTTATACATGTCAGTTGTCACTATTGAAAAAGCAGAATAAAAGGTACAGTAATTAATGGGGTGATTGAGATCCCTCTATTTTTAATAATAGGTGTCGGATTTTCGTAAGAATAAAGAATTTATTGATATGTAATGATCTACTTTTTTATTGAGCTTATCTGACATGAATTATGAATTAATTGTATCGTAAATTAAAAGAAGTTATAAGAATTATCTGGAGAAGTTTCTATGTCAAATTAAAGTAGATGGGTCCTCTAGACTAGTGGGAAAATTAGAAAGAAAAGTTAGAAAATTATTTTAATAAAAAAAAATAACATGTTAAGAAAATTGGAACATAGCGAACATTAGTAAACAAATATGTATTAAATTATTAATGTCAAGTGCATGAGATCATTGTTTTGTATCATTATCTAAGAACGTCAAGAAACTTTTCTAGATATATCATACTTATCTCACTCTCCAGAAAAGTATAAAATGTAAAAGTCAATTTTTTTTCAATAAACTAATTTTAAATAGGACAAAAAGAAATATTTAAAATGAAAATTTGAAGAAAAAAAAAAGGTATGAAAGCTAGGTTTTAGTTTAAGACTTATTTTAGGATGGACAACAATCATTAACGTAACTGAGTTATATTTTAACACTCATTATAATATGGACAACAATTGTTAACCTAACTATTTTTAATTAATTAAAAAAAGCTTTAATGATTAATAGAATATTCTTAATAATAATTAGATTTGGTTTGAAAATTTCAGAGAGACCGAATAAAGACACGAAGCCGAATCTAAATGTTTAGCAACCGAATAACCACGTTATTACTTATTACAAAATCATTAAACAAAAAATAATAAGTGTGAACTTGAAATTTAAGGATGTTTTGAATTTTCAATAATGTAAACCATGTTCCTTTTAATCACTATATATTAATGCATGCAATATGATTATCTAGATTCTCTGTTTTAGGAATTTCAACCATGTGTTTATCTAGAAATAGTAATGGTATATATTACAAATAAGGGTTGTTGTGGAGTAATGGACTCCTTCATCTTTAATAACATGTCTCGGGTTTTAACATTAGGTATCATTTTTATTAAAGAGTATTTTACCTTAAGATAGTGGGACTTCTCAATGCGGCTCTAAATTTAATTGGACCGTAGTGCAAATATGGGACATAAAGTGAAAAACTATTTTTAAAAAATAGTGTATGAAAAAGATTCACAAAACTTGAAAGAAAATGCATTATTGCGTAAGGTTGTAAATTTTGAATATAAGGCTCGATAAATGACGGTAGTAACTCTAACTATCCAAAGATAATGGAATTTCTTGTCCTATAAATAGCATGCTAGATGAATGATGGTACTTGATTGCGCCACACTCTTCTGAGATGCATGAAATATATACGTTTGATATAAAGGCGAAAAAAGGATTTACCCTCCTATGTACCTATCCTTATGGAAACTCAACTTTTTGGGTATAACGATATCTCTTTATTCTTCGTGATATATATTGATCATATTTCTGATCTTTATTTGTAGCGTAGTGGGTTGATGTGGTATGAGAAGTTATGGAAAAGAGTGTATATTACAGCAGTTCTGATTCGTGAATTATCGTTGATCGTTGTGTATTACATGCTAGATCTTCTACTATTCTATATTCTTTCCGAAAGTATGTTAATCAACTCTAGGGGAAAGGACATCCGATATCTCTTTTATAGGATGTTTCCATTTATCTGAGTTAGCCTTCGCAAGCGAATAAAAGGGTGGATCATCTGATCTTGGAATAAGTCATCTCGACTATCCCAATTTGTTATCTATTTATTTCATAAAATATCTGAAATTCATACGAATATGAGGACTTCGAATGCCAATCCAAAAACATTTGATCTCAGAAAACTGTCGATTAAGAGACTAATTTAACGTGGAACTTAAGGACATTAGCCTAATAAATAAATTAAACAGTTAATTTTCTAGTGAAAAGGACAATTGATTTGTCTCTTTAGATGTTGACGTAAATAAAATGATATAAATGAGTAAATTTCTTGAAACAATTTGCACAATTAATATTGGACACATCAAAAGACTCATTATATATAGAAGAATATTTCCAAATGAAGTGTGACCAAGTCTTCGTAAAATAATAATAGAAAATTTTGAATAATCCAAACCAAGTTGGCCTTGATTCATTCCTTAAAATAAACATTTTTCACCAATTCTTATCTACTCATATTTTCCGAGAACTAGAAAGTTGTAATAATACCGACTAGAGTTGTGGTGAAATGATAAGTGAGCATTCGTTAACGTATATTTTGGGTTCGAGTCAGAGGCGGATACACTTTGCGGCAAGCGGTGTTGCGTGACATTACTTTGTAGAAATTTTTATTTAATAAATATATATAGATATTATACAAAATAAAAATTTTGGGTGTAAATATAAAAAATGACACCGCTTATCATTATAGTGATTTATTTATTTATTTTTTATTTTCAAATGCTGACACCGCTTACCAAAAATCCTGGTTACGCCACTCATTCGAGTCTTGAATATAGAATCGTTTTTTTAAGAAATGCTTTACCTCTCAATGTACAACTTCTGAGCGCTAATCGAAAATTGATCATGCTCCAATATGAATATTATATGTCGAGTGAAAAAACAAAAATATATTGTAATAATGAGAAACTACGTTACAAAGCACTAAATAACAAAAGGTAGAAATATTTCAATTTTCAAGCCCTATAGCTTTAGAAAATTGTAGAATTATTAGTGCTGATTAACTAAGGCGAAGTCATGGAAGGATTGGCCCATTTTCTGTGACGTGTCTCCTAGGAAATTCCAAAACTTCGATAGAAATGACTAAATGGCCCGTTTTGGGCATAAGACTTTTTTCAATTTTTTTCGATTTTTTTTTTCGCTTTTTACTTAAATCCGTGTTTTGGCCATAATATTTTCAATTTTCACTAAGAAATGAATTTTGACATTTTTTGAAAATTAAAAAAATTCCAAAAAACTGTTTTTTAAAAAATTTCACTTCAAATCACTCACAAAAATTCAAAACATCCTAAAATTATATCATGTCCAAACACAACTCTAATTTTCAAACACCATTTTCAATTGATTTTTTTTTACTTTTTCCCGGAATTTTACATTTCTTATGTATTATTGATACCATCAAAGAGTGTAGTTAGATGAAAAGCATTCATTTATTTTCAGTTTGGTGTTTCGGATCGAATAATGAAAATAGAGAAATTTTTCGTATAAAATATTTTTCCATCAATGAGCTTACACGATATGAATTCGGATTAATCGAATCGGCCATTAGTTTCGATAGATAAAAGTCTCCGACATGATAACTTTTTGTTAGCAATTCTCCAATAAGTAATAAACAAATGGATTATCATTGACTTACCAAGTCT